AATTAACGACGAGGTCCACACTCATATCGGTGTAACTGGAGAAAGGAATCCTGAGATAAAAGTACGAGCCTCAGAGATATTCTGATGTATTTCCTCTACCGTATGAATATGTGATTACTTTAATATTGCTTCAAAAGACAACTGTATCAACACCTAGCCGTCTGTTCGGATCAGGAAGTAAAAGGAAATAAAATGTGTTTCTGCACGTTTTACGTTTTTGACTGAAGAGTGCAGGGGTATAAGTACAAACATGTCTCATAAGTAAAAAGTACCCTGCTAAGTTTTTACGAAGCATGGCTGGCCTGAAGCCAAAGTTAAGGAAAGAAAACTGCTGGATCTCCTTGTAACCTGCCTGTTCTTCTTTGGGGATGTCGATTATTATGTGTTATTAAATTCTTTTACTCACTCGGAGTCAGTAATGAATCAACTGTAAGTTGTTCGGTTGACGTGCCTTGCCGAGCTCTGAAACTAGTGTCTCGTCTTTTAGAAGCTAAAAAGATGGAAAGAAACTTTGTTTTAATATCACAGTAAACAAAGATAGGATAAAACGACTGATTACTATTCATGTTTAACATCTTTTTTATAGGAGGTGTTTATACTTTAAATCACAGGTAACAAAAGACAGAAACCCGCGTAGCCCCCTAAAACACTTTTTGAAGGATATTCAAAACAATCTCACCATGAACTATGTCCCACATCTTCTCCACAAGACTGTCACACTGCTTCTCCCAGCTAAACTTCTCTTCATATGAACTCCTCAGTTGTTGAATATCTTGAAGTCGATCTGATCTCTCCTTCTGTCGGACACCAGCAATTGCCTTTGCCCATTCCCCTGGGTCCTCAGACTCCACCACGAATGATTTGCCTGATGGTACAGTGCAAAGTGCTTCACCAAATCCCGAGTTGCCACTGACAAGAATGGGAAGACCGGCAGACAACGCCTCTAACGCTGTCAAACCAAAACCCTCTGTTCTAGAGGGCATGATGCAGAGATCAACTTCACAAAATAATTCTTTCAATCTCTCTTTGCTATGCACAAACGTCCTCACGGTCAGCTGGTTTTTATCAATTCCACTTTTCATCAAATTCGCTTTAACCTCATCCGGTTTACCTTCAGGTGCGCCCACGAAGATGAGACAGTAAGACCTGTCTTTTAGTTCAACTATTGCTCTGGCAGAGATATCGTAACCTTTAAGGCTAAAGTCCTCTGGGTCACCACGGCCAAATGTCAGTACCCTAAACTTGTTACTCTCCTTTGGGGCTTGTTTTACGTCAGAGAACTCACGGAAAGTTCCAGGAGTCAGTTGAAGGATGTCGTTTTCTCTCTTGCATGAGCGGAGCTGAGCGGAGAAAGCGTCTTTTAGCTTTGGTCCAACAGCTAGCACAACATCTGCCAACTTACACAACTCCACTTCAGTTAAATTCTTCTCTTCACCTTTGGAAATAGCACTGGAATAGTTTTTGTGCATTGCAAGTTCTTCGGGCGCAGTGTGCACTACCTGTATCCACTTGCACTGATGCGATTCTTTAAAGAATTGAGCTTGTTTACCAAGCTTTGCTCCATGACCCAGTACTATGTCAATGTCC